ATCTCCCTGCATTTCATTATAGTTTAAACTGGCTGCATGAAATAAAGTAAACTAGTTTCATTTAATAGGGCCTTTCAAAAAAAATTTTTACAAGATTTTCTCATAGCAAAATGTCCACCTGTCAAAATCCTAAACCTTTTGCGGAAATTATGTCAATTTTGACAGAATTTTCATCGAGTTGTTTTCTTGGGCCCATAGTGACATTTCAGGTTGGGGAAGGGTTTTAAAGAAAGGTGGGAGACCCACTCCACAATAGCTACTCACTTAGTATTATGGGCTTTCACCTAGGATGTGGTTGACCCAAATTCCAAATAAATGTCTTAATCACACACTGTATTATTGGCTAGCATGCTTGTATGTATACATGTCTCCATTTTATCTCTGGCACAGTGAATACATACTTAAATGCTTTATAATATCTGGTTAGAGCAGACTGGGGATTTGAACCTGGGTTGACATCCCAGGTAAGGGCCCCAATCATTGGTTTATTGGCTTTTTTGTGTTTCTCTAAGGATGTTAAAAGGGCTTGGTTTTACCCTGTTGTAAAATGAAACCAAATGCCAAAAGCTCAACATTTTTCACCAAATTGTTTTTCTGGCTAGCCCTACTCTTTAAGCTAGTGTGGCCTTTTTGGTCCCTGTAGTTGTCCAGGGCCTTCATTGTCTTACTCTGCCTGCCTTTCTGCTGGAGCCTTTCTTGGGCACTTCTGCTGTACCTGAGTTTTACGGTGGGTGTGGTAGCATAAAGCACACTGTCTAGTTGTATGAGAGGTGTAATGGCATCTAGCCAGAAATTTCCATGTTAAAGAATTTTTCACACACCATTCTAACTAATGTCTACCTCTTAGAGTCATTGTAAAAATGATGTCCTCTCTTGAAATACTGCACTATTCTTTTATTGAGAAAAACTGATTTATTGTCTTCTTAATGAATGTTTTATCCCAGATAAATGGAAATATCTCATGAAAGCTGAACTGGAATGTTTTTTAACATAGTTTGGGGTTTTTCTTGGACCCTCGGAAGTACTTTACACATGTCAAACAATGATCAGACTGCAAGCATTTCTGCGGCTTGCTGTGTCCATTCCTCCACAGAATTGGAGCCTCCATTCCTGCAGGATCTAGCAGGGGGCCAGGTGCTCTGGGCTGCAATAGTACTTTTGTTTGGGGACAAGTGTTTGGCTTTTACTGTTGTCAGCTGTGTTGGTGGTTTCATCTAAGGGCGAGAAATACAAACTCATAAAAATGTAGACATGGTGTCGGTTTCCTGTGCAATACTATAGCCTGGGATTTCTTTTTTCTTTTTTTTTAATTTGCACTTGTGCCTCAGGCTTTATGAAATAGGGGTGGATTAGTGTAGTTTTCTTTCCCTGGAAAGAACAGCTTGTGAAGTGCATTCTTGTCACTGTTACTGTTTTCTCCCCATCATGTTGTGTGACTGTAGAATAGATTATACAGATTGCCACAGGATGGTTTTCATCTCTTTGGTCGTGAGAACAGCTTCCAAAGCAAGATAAAAGTGCATCTGCTGACATTGTTTCCCTTGCAGTGTCTGAGAGCCTTGATTGATTGATTGATTGATTGATTGATTGATTGATTGATAGGGGCCTACTGAAATTGCAGTTTCTGTGAAATTGCAAAATCTGCAGAGGAGGGGAGTGCTGCTGCCATAAAGTGGGGCCCAAGATGACTGCGGCCTTGCCCCTCACTGCTGATTGGCTGAGACGGCTGCCTGTTGTGCAGCTCCGCCCCTCTCCAATCAGTGGTGGTGAGGGGCAGGGTCGCATGATGGTCAGCCCTCACAACCAGTCAGCAGCAAGGGACAGGGCTACTAGAGCCCCTCGGCCAATCAGGCCTGGTGGGCAGGGGGGCCTGCTACAGTAAGCCCACAAAAATGGTGGCTAGCCCCTCTCTGTCCACAAAATCGGTCACTGCCTCCTCAATTTGTGTAGCCCCCTATGTATTTATTTATTCATTAGATTTATCTGTGCTGCCTCTCTAAGAAGGCTCAGGGGCAGCGTACAGAATAAAATAAAGCTCCCCCCAAGATATGAAGCAGCAGACTCCTCCGGCTGTGCCTCAGAACTTTAAAATGCTCCCCTACTCCTGCTTCCCTCTTGTCAGCCAGGACCAGGTGCTCCAACTCTGCTTCTCAACCCTCCTAGCACCCATTCATTTCTAGGGCTAGAAAACCTCTACCTATTCCCCTCTCCCATTCAAAATTTCCCACTCTCACTTCCCTACTTCTCACCCAGAGCGCCCACTTTGCCCTTTCTTCCATTTCCCCTTCAGTCCCCAACTCCTTCTTTCCACAAAGGGATTATGAATGTGTTTTCCCCCACCTCCACCCTGCCCAACTCCAAATCTATTTATTTGTATTTTTGTCTGTAGGAGCCTTGTCAGGCAATAGCATCCCATTGTGCAGGACACTGTACAAACACTGAACAAAAAGCCTCTGCCTTAAAAGATCGCTTGTTCTACAGGTATTGAGGGCTAGATTTATACCAGTACATTAGCTACCTAAACAGATTAGACTTTAGGTGCCTAAAATTGCAAATACCAAACCCACTGCAGCAGCTGCAAAACTCATTAAGCATCTAAATGCACTTGGTGCCTAAATTATGAACTCCTAAGTTCTCTCCATGCCTAAACTTAAGGTATCGGAAAATGTAACTTTTGGCAGGAGATGGGTAAGTTGCTGCTCTGGAGCATTCATGGTCTCTCTTGCTGTAACAGTTACATCCGCATAGTCCTTTAGTGCAGGGGTGTCAGACTTGCAACCTGTGGACCCACATCATGTGGCCTGTGGAGCTGGTAGAGGGGCCAGGAATTTGGTGGTAGGACTGCTGCTGAAATCTGGACTATGGAGTCCTGTTGGTAACGCACGACAGTGGCAGGAGGCAAGCAATGGCTGTGTTAACCACTGCCACTCTTCCCACCACCATGTCTGTATTTAACCAGTAAGGATTTTAACTGTCCAGATCCAGCCCCAAGGCCAGGATGAGTTTGACACCCTTGCTGTAGTGAAACAGTTACCTAATTTTGGCTGTGAATGAAACAGGATTTAAGTTGAAATGCTTTTGTTACACTGGTATCGCTACAGACTCATACTATCTTTATATCAGTATGGTTTGATATCATTACAGTTGTTACTTCTGTCTACACATTTACACTTGTGTGCATGGCCAGAATGACCCCAGTCTGTACCAGTTCCTGCTTTATCTGTTCTGTGGTCTAGAATGGAGTTGGGTCTGCATCCAAGTTCCACCTAAGTCCCTAGTAAGAACATTGTCTCTGCCCTATTTCAGGTGTATGTGCTCAGAAAGGGGCAGGAGTTCAGATACACCTCTGTAATTGCTTTTCCTTCCTGGCTAGCTTTCTTTTTAGTGCCCAGATCACTGGATCGCTTCTGGGAGATGCCTGCCTCTTCTCATGCACTGTAGGGATCCAAGATGCCTAACCCAGCTTGTTTGGATCACCCCCCCCCCCCCCCCCCCAGGGTAACATGATTACTTCTGGATATGATGAAGCCTAAAAATCCAGACCTTTATGAGACTGACCTAGATCTGTTCCCTTTCCATTTCCATTCCCTCGCAGTTGAACCAATCAAAGATTGTCCCTGCTATATTCAGCCAGATTATTACTGATACACGGTGCACTTTTCCAACATCATCTATAAAACCATTGTCCAGGGGCTTATTTACAAAAAAAAATGCTCTGACTCACCAGCTGCTTTTTGTGGCCAAGTCGAGCACGTTTGCATGAAAACAGATACTAGATCAATAAAAAGCAGAAGGCTTAAATGCCCGTTTTGGTACTTTCATTCTTTTCAGCAATCTGACCTCTAGCTCCATGAAATGGGTTAAACAAGGGGCCCAGCAGCTGTGCATATATTATAGTATCAGCAGCTGACTTCTAGGCATGAATGCAGTCACTTTTCAGAAAGTCATCCACAGTCTGGTGTCCTCGGAGAATGGGAGAGGCATTCAATATAAAACTTTGTTCCAAATCATTTTTTTTGCATACTTCCTCTTAAACCAAATCTTAGCGTGAGACTTAAATTGACATTGGCTATGGAAAGGCTTCTTGGAGATCTCTGCTACCATATGGATCTCCAAAACCACATGCAGTTGACTTTGCTACAGTTAACTCTAGGTACAGAATCTCTCACCCTCTAAGCCAGGGTTGGGCAGTTATTTTGGCTGGAGAGCCACTTAACAAATTTTTGGTGAGCTCTTGAGGGGCACACACCCACAATTTTTAGAAGATATCATTTTAACAAATTAGAAATAACAAAACATTATATACTAGAAATCAAATATCTACTGTAACGTATTTTAATTTTATTTCAAAAAATAATTTTTGTCCTGATTTGGGGTTTTTTTGAGTAGTGTATATAGAGGCAATTTCACAATAGCTCAAAATAAATTCTTACTCTTGTATATTGTGTGGGGGGGTATGGTGTATGTGTGGGGAGGTGGGTGCACATGTGTGGGGGGAGTGTAGTTGGTGGCAATGTCTTTTGGTGGCAGCGTCTTTTGCTGCATATTGAGGAAACATGTTTGTGTTTATATATCTGTTTTGTCAGTTGTATTACCTTGAAGATGCAAGTACAACTTCAGGGGATCACTAAAATTACTTCTCTTCATCCAGCAGTGTCTTAAGGGGTTAGATCACAGATTGCATTACATCTGAGAAGGCAAAGCCTATGGGGAATCCAGAAAACCAATCCACCAAGAACCTTAAAGCAAGTTGCATGTTGAAGATCAGGCAGAATTCATTTTCCTTTGGTAATACCAACATTTATTGATGGAGTCAAAGAGCAATGTTTCTTCCCAAAAGTGAGAGATTCTATGCTTCATCCTTTATCGTGTAGAGCAACTGTCAGATAGGTATAAAGTTATCCACCCTAAAGAAGTGAATCCAACAGGCCCTTTGTGTGTAAGTACAGCATCCCTTGGTTGTGTTCATGTTCATATTTATATTTATTTTTCCCTTTCAGTTTGCTCAAAAGAGACTCCAGTGGAGCTAATCCCAACCTGAGTGCTGCTTACCGGAACAGACACCTGCTGGAGTTCTCAGCTAGCCAGAAGCTTGACACAGCTCAGAAAACTCCTGACATCATCATTGCTAAGAGCAGTGATAGGTAGGCTCAGTATCTTTAACTTTTAATAATACCAGACAGCTCTGGTATTTCAAGCTTTTCTCTTTTGCCTTCCAATTCCTTGCACTTTATGGGGCAGAGTTAGCTCTTTTAGGGAGCTAACCTTAAAACCAGAGTACCTGGAATGCTTGATTCCTTCGGTAATTTGGTTTCAGGATGCATTTGGCAAGGTCCGATACCCTGGTAACTGAGAGTGTTTGAGCACTGAAGTAGATTACCTAAAGATGTTGTGGAATCTCCATCATCAGAAGTCTTTAAGCTCAGGTTAAACAAACACTTGGTCTGGGATGGTTAACAAGGATGTCCTGCCTTGAGCAGCGGGTGGAGTAGATGAGCCCTTGTGGTGCCTTCCAGTCTTGTTTGTCTTTGATTTTTATAATAGGAATTTAAAAAAAAATCATACGCTTGACTGGGTTGTGGGAACTTAGTCTGCCTCAATTATTTAGACTTAATCATACTTATATGGGTGTATTGGAGGGGCCTTCACAAATGTGGATCCCACCTACTGTACACAGTGTTTCTAATTCATTTTGTCATTGGAGTTAGGATAATTGGTGGGTTTTCTTATTGGACTCCTAGAAGGAAAAGGTTTGATGAGAATTTCAGCTTTCTTTTATAAACAGGAAGCTTCTTACCCTCCTGGTTGCAGAGTAGAGCCTAGTATAGGATGTTCTTGCTTCATAAAGACACAGAAACTCAAAGGAAAGGAAAAGATCTCCACTTTGTCTTAAGTTTTTAATAATATTCTCACAGTTTTTGCATACTTAAAGTTGGCCATGCTGCCTTCACCTACCTCTCAGCTTCAAATGCTGGGAAACAGCCCTTTTTGTCTCAAGGGTCTATTTGCACTGCAGCGGTTCGAATGCACATATTTGAGTGGACTGAACTTTACAAGACCTCCGCATTTAAAGATCTCTCCCATTTCTGAGCTGAGGTTTGATATTGAGAATAAACTAGTTTACTGCATGTCTTGGCACTCTGGAGTTCAGAGAGATCCAGGCTCTGTCAGACTATCTGTTATATCAGCATCTTAGCAGCAGCCTGGGAGCCCATCTTGATATGCGTGAAGGTGGTTACTAGAGGTGCACCAATACATCGGTCCAATATCGGATTGGGACTGATATAAAGAAAATTGACTGTATCAGAAATCAGCCTGATGTTGCTGATAATTTGGCCAATAAATGCCCGCGCATGCATGCAGCCACAGCACTCTGGCAGCAAGGAGCACAGCCCAGCAGCTTAGAGAGCTGCAGGTGGCTGGTAAGTCGGTTGCAGTAGAAGGGCGTGGGGGTGGGACAAATCAACGCTTCCATGGTAAGGGAGGGAATGGGCCTGGGGCAGGGGCTGGGGCAGACGCTGCCCAGCCAGGGTGGGACACGGGACGGAGCCACAGCTCGTCTGGGGTGGGGTGGGTGAGGTGGCTCCGGCAGGGCAGCCCCAGCCCCACTCCCTCCCTCACTGTTGGGGGTGTTTATCTGCCCCTTCCCTCCCCCTCCCCTTCCACCACAACAGACTTACCAGCTGGACACAGCTGTATTAGAAATCGGATCAGCATCAGCCAATATGCCTTTAAAAATTGGCTATTGGTATGGGCCCCCAAAATCTCTATCAGTGAGCCCCTAGTGGTTACTAGGGGTGTGCAAAGCGGGCAGTATTCGATTTGAATTCAGCCCAGTTCGGGGGACAGTGTTTCGATTCGCTGATTCTGATCACTGTCCCGATTCGATTCGGCCGAATCTGAAGATTCAGTTCTGATTCGGAGAATCAGTGATTTGGCCATAGGCACAGCCTTTCCTACGTACCTCAAGGTACCAGGCACAGCTCGTAAATGCTGAGATGGTGGGGCAGATGGAGCGTCCCACAAGAGCGCGGCGGGGTCCCCTGCGTGCTGGGCAGTGGAAGTTCCAGTCCACTTTTGGGTCCACCACCCAGTGTGTGGGGGACCCTCTCACACTCCCATGGGATGCTCCATTCACTCCGCCATCTCAGTGTACATGAGCCACACCTGGTACTGTGAGGTACATAGAAAAAACATATAAGTGTCTATGGCCAGATCATCAAATCTCTCTAAATCGAATTGGAGGCTTCCAATTCGATTCAGAGAGATTAATGGGTCTCCTGATTCAGTTTGGATTCGGCGATTCAGCCTCCAAATCTCCTCCAAATCAAATCGGCAATCAAAGCTTCACACAGCCCTAGTAGTTACTTGGTTAACACTTGAAACTATGCTATGTGTCTGCTTTAAACATCACCAGAAAAGAAAGTAGGCTTTTACATGTTTGGCCCCCTGAAATATGATAGGTGCTCTGCATTTGTCTAGAGGGCAGCAATGAACCCACCTATGTTTCAGGTAGATGCGAAACATATTCTGCCTTGTTTTTTCTTGCAATGTATATTCATCACTAGTTTCTCCTGGCATAAATCTGTGCTGTTTCAAATATTTTTCTTACACTAATGAAGTCATCTAATATAAATCTACAGTATGGTTGCGAATGACATGAATCTCTGGGACTAGAGGGCACTTTTATTTAAATGAGATGTTCTTGAGCTATCGAGCTGATGTCCTTTTAAAGGGTGGGTGTGATCAAAGCAGTAATTCTGATATAAAAGTTCTTTAGTGTTCTGTATTTTCTTTTTACTCATAACTTTCAGAACAAAATGAACTACACCCCCCCAGTCAAAAAGAAAAACCCAAACTGCTCACCATTTCAGCTTGATACTTGCAAAATATGCTCCATGGATTCTCCTTTAAATATTGCCAAAAAAGAAAATAGCAAAGTTCCAGACTGTCTTGCATTCTGTTAACATACAAAGGAACACAGGATTTTCCAAAACAAATTGGACGATCGGCCTTATTGAACTTGATATTTTGTTTCCATTAGTGACCAGTGCTTAATTCCTCAGTGGAATGCACTTAGCCAATCATACCATGCTAAGCTTTACATAGGAGGGTGAATGGGGAGATAGTATGTATATGTGCGCGCTCTGTCCTTGACCTTCTGCAGATAATCATCTGACATTATAAAGCTATCCAATCAACCTCTTTCTTCCTCTTAGTTTTCCTACTTATTAATGTTAATGATTTCCAAATTTTCCAGCCCTTCTATGATACTTGTTTTCTCAGGAGCTCAAGATAAGGTCAGTACAGTTCAAGACATTAACAAAGGAAAGGACTGGATCCTAAGCTTGGTGTGCAGGGCACTTAGTAAGAAACCTCTCAATCCATTCCTGTGCTTTTATATATGCCTGTGATCTATATTAGTGCACGCCAGGAGAGTATGGTTATGATCTGGTCCAGTGCCTCCTGCCAGCAATTCCCAATGAATACTTTTTGTATTATCCATTAATATTTTTATGGGTCATTTGCAGAGGTTTACTCAATTGACATAGTCACTTTAAGGCTTTATAGATCTCCAGCAGGCAGTGCATGAGTGTACATTTAATTGCCTCCAGATTGGAGCTTGGCTGAATTCAGCTCATGGGTTTTTCCCCTCCCTCACAGGATTTGTCCTATCAGATCTTTCTTTTCCAATAGAGTGTTTCTGGCTGGTTGAACAAAGCCAGCCACAGATGTGCAGAAAGCACTAATAGACTTTGCCATATGGAAAGAAGGCAATAAATCAGGAACATTTTAATGCCTTAGCATTACGTGGCTATGCTAAAGGCTCTGTATCCTATGTGGCACATTTGAGACAGTGAATTATGTGACAAAGGTAATAGAGGCTGGTTCGCTCAGGAAAGCACGCCCCGTCCACCACCTCCCCTTTCCCTCCAGTCACTTTCACCTTATTTCTTGGTAAGCTTGGACCCTTCTGTTGCTTTTTCCTTCTTTCTGGCTGTCCTTAGGTGGAGGATGAGGCAAGATGGGAAGAAAAATAAAGGAAAATATGGGTGAAGGTTTCTTAAAACCCCATAAATTCCATTTGAAAAAGAAGCTTGAGCATTTAGGAGCTGAAGTCTCATAACAACTCAAGAGGACTTAAAGTTCTTTGTTTTATTGGGCTGTTTGTGGGAACAGGGTGGGTTAGATGCCTGACTCCAAGAGAGCATTCGTGGCTGTGAATCCAGAGTGGATTTAGGCACCTGTCTTTCTTGAGAGTCTAAACCTACTCTCTCTTCAGTATTTCCTCCTGGGTAGTTCAGGGTGCTCCCCACTCAGAACACTAGCTTCTGGGAGTCCTATGCACATACCTCTGACTCTTCTGTGTTGTATGACAGGGCTGTCCAACTGGTGGCTGCAGGCCATATGTAGCCCCTAGGCTCCTGGTCCCAGTGCTGCTGTCACCATTGTTCTCCTGCTGCTGGAGTTACCAGGCTCCTCCCTCCCTCTTCTGGCTTCCACTTCCTGCACCTGGAGACCCAGTTGCATGACCCATAGGAGTGAGGGAATCCACAACTGCGGATCCTCAAGGGGACCCCATACAGCATGGGGACACCAGTGCCGCATAGCAGGGCTTTCCCTTGGTACAGGAAGAGGAGTCCACACAGCATGGTGCAGTGTGTGGCCTATATGGCATGCAGCCTGTGGCCAGAAAACCTATGGCTCTCAGTCGCTCAGAATTTAGACAACCCTGTTGTATTGGAAGGCTGGGTGCCTACCTCAGGGCTGTGGATTTCACTGAGCTGTAAGGTACTCATGTTATTTCTCACAATGCTGAGTGCTGCAATGTCTAAATCTTTTTTTGGGTGTAACCCATAAATATTTATGACTTTTTTTTTTTTTTTTTTTTTACTCAAGGATTAGAACAAAAAGCTTGGGTGATCAGGAGATACCGGCCTGAAACAAAGCACCAAGGCAGAACTTCCCTTGTGCTTATGGGCCTCCTCCACAGTCTTCCTCTAGGAAGGCACCAGGATTTCGAAGGCCATGGGAGGTCTCTGACAAGGTGTTCTACATGGACAGCCTTCTCTGCTACCCCACATTTGAGAGAAACAGCCTGGTTGCTCTTATGCCTCCCCTTCAGGAAGCCTGAGAGAAAAAACTTCAGTGGTTCCTTAGGGTCCCTGGAAACAGAGGTCTGGTTCCCTCTTCTCACTCCTTTTATGGTTGGGATTCCAGTTGGAATGATTGGCGGAATGGCTTACTTCCTGTGTTCTGTGCTTGGGACCACCCCTGGCAAGCACATCCTGCCCACTTGCTCCCATGCTACATGCCAAATCCTGGGCATGAAGCAGTGTAGCTTAAAGTGGCTCTGGTCACCTGCCACACACAAGTGCAATCCAGACCAAGAGCCCAAAATTCGTATCGGGGTGGGAGAGCATGTTCCAGGCCAGTCTAAGCTGCCTATACTTAGTAGCCTAATGAGTGGTGGGCAACCAGGGCACCAGCATACATGCTGCCACAGCTGTCATGGCCAATGCTGCCAGCCCAGCTGCCACAGCCACTGCTGCTGGCCTGGCCACTACTGCCTAGGATACAGATCCTGGATGTTATTACACCTTTGCGTATTACGTTTCCTTTCTTTGATGAGGAAACCCTCCAGCACAGAGCAGAAAGGGGGATGGGCATGGTGTAATTCTTAGTAATGGACCCAGCATGGCACAGAGGCATTTCAGACAGGCCTTAGGGTTTCCTTTTCCTCTTTGTCCAAAGCCTTTTTATATCTGTGGGCTTTATCTCCCCTTCCAGGCTCCCCTTCTCCTATTTGGAAGAGTTATTTATGTCATGTGTAGCAGATTCTGCTGCAGCCCCTCTCCCAGCTTTTAATAGCTAAACATCTGTGCTTGTAAGGAATTAGGGAAATCTGGGTTCTGTCCCCATATATGAACTGTGACTGGTGCTCAGAACAACCATCACCATGGAAATAGAATCATAGATAGTTAGGGTTGGAACCTTCAGGAGGTCATCTAGTCCAGCCCCCTGCTGAAAGCAGGACCATCCCCAGCTGGATCATCCTAGCCAAAGCTTTGTCTAGCCAGGTTTTGAAAACCTCCAAAGATGGAGCTTCTACCACCTCTCTGGGTAACCTGTTCCAGTGTTTTACTACCCTCCGAATGTGAAAGTTCTTCCTAATATCTAACCCAGGGGCAGGCAAAATATGGCCCGCAAGCCTGGTAGGCTGGATGCAGCCATTCTGTCCAGCCCAAGGGGCCCCTAAAAAATTTAGAAAATTATTATTTATCTGGCCCAGCAGCCTGTCAAAGCTGACAAGAGCCAGGGGCAGTAGGACCCATGAGCCCCAGCAGGACTAAACAGCCCAGCCCCACCCACCCCCAGTCATTTCACTCCCTTCCTGCCCCGGCCCTGCTCCAGCACCAGCACCACATGGCTGCCAGCTGCATCGCCAAACTGAGGAGCATGGGGCTGCATTGGTGCATGTGCATGTGTGTGCATGTATATATGCAGGCAGGGACAATGTGTGTTGGGGGGGGCAAGCAGGGACTGTGTGTGTGTGTGTGTGTGTGTGTGTGTTCATAGGCTGAGTCCCACGCGCATACCCCACCATACACATGTACCCACACCCCCCTCGCACTGCCATACACGCAGACCCCCACACATCCCCTCACATCCCAGGCACGCAGACCCCCACAAACCTCATACCCACCCACACCCCGCATATCCACACACACACACCCACATGCTGTCTCACCCCGCATACCCACACACCCACAACATACAAGAGTAAGACTTCATTTTAAGGTATTGTGCAGTCATCTCTATATACACTACACAAACGCATGTAAATCAGGTCAAAACTATTTTTTGATACCAAGTTAATGAATGCTGTAGATGTTCGCTTTTTAGAATATAATTTGGTATTTTTCTGGTTCTGAAATGGCAAAACCTCTTGCTGAAAGGAGTACTTCTGGGGGCAAAGGGTGGGGGGGCGGATTTCTGGTGGCAAAGGTCAGGAGGTAGGGGGCAGGACTTCCGGTTACAAGATGGCAACCGGGGGCAGGGCTACCAATGTGGCCCTCGACAGCCTGTCAAAACTTGATAAGCGACCCTCCACCCAAAATAATTGCTCGTCCCTATCTAACCTAAGCTTCCCTTGTTGCAACTTGAGACCATTGCTCCTTGTTCTGTCATCCGCCACCATTGAGAACAGTTCAGTTCCATCCTCTTTGGAACCCCCCCTCTGGCAGTCGAAGGCTGCTATTAAATCCCTCCCAGTGTTCTCTTCTCTAAACTAAATAAGCCCAGTTCCCTCAGCCTCTCCTCAGAAGTCATGCCCCCAGCCCCCTCACCATTTTTGTTGCCCTCCAGTGGACTTTCTCCAATTTGTCCACATCCTTTCTGTAGTGGGGGGCCCAAAACTGAACACAGTACTCCAGGTGTGGCCTCACCAGCGCTGAATAGAGGGGAATAATCATTTCCCTTGACCTACTGGCAACACACCCACCAAAATACAGCCCAGTATGCCATTAGCCTTCTTGGCAACAAAGGCACACTGCTGGCTCATAATCAACTTATTGTGCATTGTAACCCCCAGGTTCTTTTCTGTAGAGCTGCTGCCCAGCCAGTCAGTCCCCAGCCTGTACTGGTGCGTGGGTTCGTTAGGCTTCAGAAAGCCTAACGAAGCCAGCGCTTCGATCCGGACATGCCGCTTTGGATGCTGAAGCGTCCAAAGCTTCTCCGGATCCAAAGCAAGGTCCAAAGCCTCGCACAGCCCTACTATATAGCTAAGCCTGGGGACTTCAACTGGGGTGTGCCAGTTCTCCTGCTAGGAACAAAGCAAGAGGTTCCTGCCTAAAGGGTGTTGCCCCTCTACTCAGAGTCAGACTGATCACTATATTTGGGGTCAGGAAGGAATTTTATCCCATGATCAGATTGGTATAGACTGTGGGGGTTTTTACCTTCCTCTGTAGCAAGGTTATGGCCCTCTACCAGGTATTTCTGGAGCATATATTGACAGTATGTTATAGAAACAGATCATTGGCTGCTGTGGTTGCCCTGCTTTACCTGTGGCATGTTAGGGTGGTAGGTTTATGTTGTGTCAGGGTTGAGGGTAGTCTTATGTAGAATTTAGATTATGGTTGTATGGGATGATCCTGCCCCAGGCAGGGGGTTGGACTAGATGACCTCTGGAGGTCCCTTCCAGCCTTACTTCTTATGACTCTTTGTGGATCCCTTGGGGTCTCCCAGTTTTCTTTCAGAAAGTTTAAAGGATTCTTGCACCAGGATGTAAAAATTGGTGTTTAAAGGATTTTTTGCTGATGGCTCAGCCATCTGGCAAGTACCTCTTGAAGGTTTTAAAACTGACCTGAGTACTAGGATTGTGTCTGTTCATTTTACAGATAATTCTGTAGCCAAGGAACTAGGAGATGAGGCTTTCATCCCTAGGTACCTAAAATGTTTAGATCCCTAATGGTTTAGAGTAGACTCTAACTTCTCAACCTGTTTTCTCCAATGCAGTGTGTTAAGTCCTCCAGATATTGGTGATGCAGGCTTTTGAACCACAAGGAAAAATGTTTCTTTGCCAACTTTGAGTCAGAGCAGCTGCTCTGGTTGGCATCTCTTGTATCCAAAGGGTTGTCAAGTTTAACTGGATTATTAACCCTCTGAAAAGTTTCCATGAAAAGATGGTTTTTCATTTGCCCCAGGCATTTGTTCCCGATGCTAATTTGGGCTTTTGTTTTAATTGGTCAATGTAATTACCATTACTCCCCTAATGTGAATGGTTCATGGGCAGAAGATTCATGCTTTGTCAAATTATTGGGTTTAACTTGGAATGCTCTGAAGTTGCAGAGCCAACAGACACTTGTAGGTATATATTGAAGTTCCCAAAAAGGAAAGAGGGTTTACAAGACTAGAGTATGTAAGTGACATTTAGCAAGCACTGAATCTGCCTATGGTATGAAATGGCAGATTCTGTCTCTTCAGAACAAAGGACTAGGCACTCATCCAAAACGTCCCTCTATACTGGGCACAGAAGTCTGAATCTTTGGCTAGGAATTTTGTTCTGTGTTTTTATGTGTTTGCAATCTTATACATTTTGAAATGCATGAAAAAGTATAGTTAGAATATATATGAAAATTAGATGATGCCTTTGGGCCCCTGGCAGTTGGCCATCTTCGTCTGTGGTACAGATTTTGGTCGCTAATTCTTGAACATCTTTCTGCTTACTGTAGTCAGGGCTGTCTCTCCCTATGACTCTATGAAGTGGCAACACCTCAGTGTGTCTGCATCCTGTGCACAGTTCACTAATCCAGCTGCAAGGGTAATATAGCAACAACTGAACCATTGCTTTGGGCGCAAGACCAGTTTGAAATAGTTGCTCTAAAGAGGAGAACATTCCAAATCAGAGAGCTCTACAAACTTAACCTGGATCAAACTGCTCAATTGATGTAGATGATGCAGCAGAAAAATTGCATTCTTTGTTTTGTTTCTGAGCACTACAGATTTTTTTTTCTTAAGGAGCAAATCCAGCCCAAGGAGCTGGGATTGGGTTCCAAGAAACACTGTGGGGGTGGCTAGAGAGGAATCTTCCCCCATCATCAGGTTGTGGAGTAGCTGGGCAAATGATCAGTGATGGTTCTCCTCCATCATTGTAAGGTTGTCTTTCTGACTTCTTCACATGGGGGCAGCATCAACTGAATCTGCTATTCCTGAAAAAGGATCAGGTGCATCCATGGAGGAAGACCAAGACTTGCAGGAGCCAGGAATCACTCTTGTACTTGTATGAAGACTGTATATTATTCTGTAAAACATTCTTTAAAACTCTGAGTCTGTTTTGGGAAGTGTTGATGATCCTGTGAGCCCAGGTAACAATGTGTGATCCCTGTGTTGGTGGCTGCAGAACTTGATGGCAAAAGAATAAAGTATCAGGCTGCTAGATGCCAGTTATTGTTCTCTATTCCAAGGGGAAAATGTGAATGAGTGACAGCAGTGTTCTCTCTCTCTCTCTCAATGAGATATTCACCAACTCAGTAGATTTGAAGAAATTTTTAAGGGGTTTCTTATTGTCTTTTTATTCCAGGTCTGCACGTTCTGTTTCTGATAACAAAGCCCTAATGGTTTTAACGGAAGACCCATTATTATATATTTCTCCACCACCCTGTAAACCACTGATCAACCGGACAGAGTCTCTCAGGTTAGCAAATAACTATTTTTGAGTCTGGGTTCTTAGTTTATGTATATAATTTTTGTGAGAGTTCTTTGCTGCATGAAAACGGTTAATCTGTCAGCCTTTGTGACAGCTGTTCTCTAATTATATCTATGATAGATATACTATGGTCGGTGGCAGCAAAGACTTCCATGTTGTCTTTCCAGTGTGCCACTGACTTTGGAGTTAAAATAGTTATCTAATGTGTTTTTTATCCTGGACTCATCTGCTGAAACTGCTAGTATGAATACCAGCTGATACCACCTGCACTAACGATTTCAGTGGCATGGACACACATCACCTCTGGATGGAGCCCATCAAATTGATTTCACATAAGACAGGCATTAGATGGCAAGCTCAGAATGGTTCCGATGGACATCTGAAGGGAACCCTGTTGGGTATGCTGGCGGCTGAGTTCAAAAAAGGACTGCCAATAATTTTCTGTTATTTGTCTGACAGATTCCTCTCTCAGGCCTAGTCCATACACAGAAGGTGCACCAGTTCAACAAAAAGTTCACTGTACTGTTCAACCAGTGCATTTGTCTGTGGATGCTAGCATCTGTTTAAACATGGAATCCATTTTAGTTTGCATCTGTTAAGTTACAGATGTTGGCTAAACTGTTATGAGACAGGTTGGTTTAAACTGGTGTGTGTGTCAGCTGAAAAGTTGCATGGGTTTAACCAAAAATGTTATCACAACCATGTAGTTAAACTGGTAAAGTTTGTTTGCAATGAAATGGCTATGCTGGAATGTCACATAATATATTCAGTAGTGAGGGAGGGTGGTGGCTGCATTGGATGGTAGGTACCATTTCTGTTGCATTTCCTGGGATGCTCATTTAACATTGCTGCAGCATGAGAGCCATAGAAGAATCTATTGATAACTACCTATCAAGTATAGTCTGTAACCCTAATTACTAGCTAAACAGGGCTTTAAGGGCACCTATTCTGCCTCCTTCATGGACAAGAAGAGGAGTATTTGTGGTTTGTCTTCCAGCTCAGCACTACAAAACCAGGACCTTGGTATCGGACTCTATCATTAATAGTTTAAGAATTCAAGGGTTCAGGTGACAGTCCGTCCAAAGAATCTCCAGATTACATGCACACATGCGTGCACGTTTTCTCCTGGGTCTCCTACTGTTTCTGATAGCAACCCATTTTGGCCAGAAGTTGCCCAGGGCTTTAGACACGTTTAAGGAACTGGAATCCTGGGACTGTCCAGCAGAAAGCTGCTATTGTTTCTCCCTTGGCACTTCAGCAGCCATCTTCCTAGCTTCCTGCTGGTGAGTGCCCACTCTCTGCAGTAGCATCAGCCTACAGTGTTCACCTGCCTTTTGACAGGAGATAACCTGTGAGGCAGCAGCCAAGT